GGGGGGGGTATGGCGGCCAAATTTTTTTATTTTTTTTCTGGTTTTAGTGTTCGGGCACGTAGGTACACGTGTCCGAAGCCCAACGCGCGAATTCCGTTATTCGGAATTCGATGCGACACCCCCGTTTTTGCGTTTAATGCGATTTAATGGGGGTCGGGGGCCCGTTAAACGGATGAACGCGCGTTCAATTTTTCGCGTTCTCCGTTAAAAAGATACACAGCCCGTCAGTGAGTCGATTCTGACCAGCCTTAACAAGATAGCCCTCATGCTGTCTGATACAGATATGTCAGGGCAGTGGGCTTCAGACAAAAAAAATTGACAATCTTTGTTGTTCTCACTAACTTTGTGGAAGACACTATTCACGACCTGAGGTCCTACGTGAAGAAAGGTAAAGAGGCTCATGAACATTTTCACTCAGTCTGAATCTCGGCTACCAGGTAGCTTGAGGAGAAAGAAAGAGAGTTTGATGAGAGTGGGAGAAAGTTTATTCGTATCTTTTGACCCAATCTCTAGTGGGAGACCTGATAGATCTGGCGAAGAGGTATATTTCTCCTGCAGAGATTGATTACGAGGCGGCAACCGAGCCATCAGAGTTTCGACATCTCAGACGAGGGATCTTCTCTCATCCATATCGTCTTACTCTATGGGAGGAGTTTTGTGCTATGGTTGACTTTCGTATCATGGGACTTGGATGGAAGTGCTCAAAACTTGCGGGTTTTAGGTGGCTCTATATCCAAAGACCGCAACCTCATAAAGTACATGGACGTGGCTGGAGGCACAGAAAACGCACAACAAAATGAGAGATTGAGTATATGACCAAACGGGATGAGTGAAAACTATTGATGAGTGCTGGCCATGCTCCCTTCATGTGTACTTTCTGAGATTATTACGAATTCTCATTCTTCCCTCATTTACCTTTCTCATTGTTCAAGTTAGTCAGTCTTTCATCGTCCACACTGCCTCTGCATGATGATTATGTTCTCTGATAATTATGTCGCAGTACTCGAAACTAGTAAATTGATACAATTGATACATGCATGGCACACCAAAATTCCCTGATTATTATTGGCATGATCTTTATTATTCCGAATCAAAAAAAAAAAATCCTAAAACAGGGGACCGACGAAGACCTCAATTGAAGAAAAAACATTGTGACAGTTCCCCCTAACACACACACACACAAACACAAACACACACACACACACACACACACACACACACACACACA